CTTGCAACCAACTTAGGAACCAGCACTCAACTGCTCCTTCAAAAAGGAGGGGAATATTATGGTGAATGAATGAATGAATGAATGAATGAATGATACATAACCTCTGTACAGACTGGCACCTGGATGCAGAGTGCTAGGAGGTTTGGGCCACAACTATTCCCTGTCCTCAGGGGCTGAGAGATATGTTCATCTCTCTGAATCCATAACCCCAGGAGCCAAGTCCCATTGTAACTATGGGGCTGTTCCACTGTGGGAGGGTTTTCCAGGCTGCACTGGTCATGCATGGGGCAGATGTCCCTGGGGAGTTTGAAATCACCTGTAACCCCCACTACTTCTTCATTAGAAATTCTAAAGCTTTGTCTTTTATTAATGAAGTAACTGTAACTGTTACATTCCCTGACAGGAGGCACTTGGAACCTGTGATAAAGTTATAGGTAATTTAATGGAAAGACTACTCTATTCATGTAATCTCAAGTTTGCTTATGCGGAAGAGAGAGAGAGGGAGAGGGAGAGGGGGAGGGAGAGGGAGAGGGAGAGAGAGAGAGAGAGAGAGAGAGAGACGCATAAGCAAGAGAAGGGAAAAAGGAGATATGGCCATGAAAGCAGGGATGGAAGGCATGTGATGCAGGGACATGAGCCAAGAATGAGTAAAAGCTCCAGAAACTTGAAAAGGCAAAAAGAGGGTCTCCCAGAGAGTCTGGGAGGGGAACAGGGTCCTGCACACACACACAAGATTCCAGCACAGTGACACCCATTTCCAGCTTCTAGTCTCTTGGACTGTTAGAGAAGGTGTGAACAGGCTGGATGTCTTATCCACTCAGATACACTTTGGAGACACCCAGGTGACCACCTGCTCCCTCCCTAATCCCCTGTCTGAAAGATCCTGCACAGCCTCTATATGTTGGCACATCAGAACAAGGAAAACTTTAAGGTCTCCTCACTGATATTGGGAGAAACACTGACCAAATTACATGTGTGATAGGTGACTGATGACATGCTAGAGAGCTGGAAGGACCCTAACCTCCAACATTGTTGCAATTCCACATGAATTTTCACCTCACATGTAAGGGAGAAGATGCACAAATCTTTCAAAGATCTTCTGTTATAGAACCTTGATGGTGTATGAGGTGTTAAAACTCCTTTAAAAGGCAATGGAATGGAGCCCGAATGCTATTAGACAAACAGTTGCCAACCCGGACAAGCGCCCTCCACCCAATGTATTCAATGCCCTGTAATCACCCAGCTCACTCCAGGGAAGCACACACAACACTGCAAATATTTCTGTCCTCATCTATTGGGGTTTTTTTTTTTGTATTCTTCACAAACTCCACTTTCCTGTCCCAGTGTGAGTCCACCCACAGGATACAGGGAAATGCGAAGTAAAATCTTTCCTCTGGGTTCTGTTTGGCCCTGTGACCTTGGGTTGGCCTCTGAGCATAGAGCAGAAACCTAGAGAGACCTGGGGGTCAGATGGCCTTTAGAAACCAGGGGCTGCCATGGTTGGCAGAAAGGGGTGAGGTCCTGGACAGAGTAGGGAGCAGAACTATAACCATTGGGGAAGCAGGAAGGGTAGAAAGGTATGGGGTGTTAGGGTTATGGTAAGACAGTCCGTTGTAGTCAGGGCAGCCGGCAGCAGGGTGAGCACAGCCCAGCTGGTCACTTCAGAGGTGTGGGCCATGCAGGGGCTGCACAGAGTTCCACTGGTCTCCAACCAGAGCCCAGGGATGTCTGGGTGCTGGGTCCTGCATCAGAAGGTGGGCTGAGATTTGTGCCATCTCCAGGCTTCCTGTCTGCAGGTCCTAAAGCACCCCTCTGCACTCTGATCCTGATACCTTGGTTAGGGAACACTAGGGATTCTCACCCGTGGCCACGATGGCTAAGGGGGAATTTCTGATACCAAGTGCACCAAAAGCTAGAAAGATGAAAGCATAGGGCCCAAGCACACAGGGCCAATAGCTGGCAAGATAATCAGGTAGGAAATAAAGACCTTCCGGCCCTATTCCCATAGGAACTCCAGGTTTGAGCAGGGAGAAGGGATGCTCTTTGAAAGGTCAGTCCATCATGCTCCCAGGCGTGGAACCTAAATAAGCCTCTTTCCTTTTGCACCAGCGCCTGTCTCACCGGTTTGGCTTTTGTGGCAGCAGCTACCTGATCCTGGGTTTTGGTCACATTAGTCTTGGTTGAGGATGAAGAGAATGTAGGAGGACTACAGAGGGGTCAGATCTTCGGGCACAGGCTGAGGACTCCAGCCTGCAGAGGGGTGGGAAAGGCGGGTGGGCTGGTGTTGGGAGGAGCATATGGGCTATAGTCCAGGGATCACAATGTCTAGAGTGAGGGCCATGGTTGTCAGTGTCCAGCTTTGGTTAGATAACATTAGCGCTACATGTTTCCCAAAGTGGGTTTGGATCTGGCAGTTTCAATTTTCCCTCCAAGCACCATAGAAACACAAAATGTCAACTTGCCAGTGCCCCCAGGCCTCTGATCCTGAGACTGCAATTGGGAAGAAGTGCCCACAAAGGAGGCATCAAGTGGGTTTGGGGGTTCCTGGTGGAAGAGGATAGAGTGGCATAGTGTCTTTTCAGCTTGCTGAGCCCAAGGGGTTGAGGAAAGAGGTGAGGCTTGGGGACCTAGGACCTTAGAAGTCTGTGGTAAATGTGGAGCTGAGGCCTCTCCAGATGTAAGAGCTATCTACAAGGTTTTCTTTCTTCTTACCTGAAAGATCTCTGCAGTGAAATGTGCTCTTGTCCATTAAGCATTCCCATCATTGTACTGTTTTCCCAAAAGAGCTGGTGGGGTACTACACCAACTGATTCAAAAGCTGTGTATTGCAAGGAATACAGATCAGTCCAGTTGCGAAGACATTTCCCCACTGGGAGCATGAAGCTCATGGCCCTTCCAGCCACCTGAGGAGGTGCTGACAATACCTGGATAAGGGGAGGACCTGAGCCTCTTCGGTCCCAATTACCAAAAATATGACACCAAGAAGCCTCTGGGAGGTCTCCCTGTGTTCCATTCATTCTATTGTTTTACCCTGTAGACCAGTGGTTTTCAACCTTCCTAATGCCGCGACCCTTTAATACAATTCCTCATGTTGTGGTGACCCCCAACCATAAAATTATTTTCGTTGCTACTTCATAACTGTAATTTTTCTACTGTTATGAATTGTAATGTAAATATCTGATATGCAGGATGTATTTAGGCGACCCCTGTGAAAAGGTCGTTCGACTACCAAAGGGGTCGCGACCCACAGGTTGAGAACAGCTGCTCTAGACTCTCATTTCTACCCTGGTCCATTTCCATATCCCTCACTTAGATGAGAGATTGCCCCTCAAACCACCCACAGTGTGGACTCGGGCTAGAGATTCTCCATTTAGGCAGGTGGTCAGCAAAGTCACTCAGGACTCTTAACTCCTCAATTTTAGCCTTTGGACCTGCTTTTCCTAAATTCTCTAAACCCAATGCAGCCTCAAGCTCCTTAGCAGGCAGCCCCATTACTCATGAAGCTCTTCTTGTCTACCAGTCTCCGCTTTGCCCCATGCACCCATCCCAGTTTCAGACAGACCTCAACACAGACACAGGCCTTACACTGCATTCTGTTTACCAAGACTTTATTTTATTCAGTTTCAAAACTGTTTGGTTAGTCAGGCAATCAGATTCAGTAAAATTATGGAGGCAAAAGGCTGATAAAAGTTCCTGCAAAAATATTTTCAATAAGAGATATTTTTATTTTGTGATTGTAAATCAATAAATTGGTTTAGTTGTGATTCATCCAGGAAGGCAAGTGGTTGCTCACTCATAATTGATCATTGTTTTCCATGATCATTTATTATTTTTTCTTAAGCCATATTGGTGCAGATTGGTTCATGGAGATTTTTCTTCCTAAAGAAATAAGTGATATTTTTCATATGTTTAACAAACTGGGTTTCAGTAACAGCAGCAATCTTTCTCATTACAAACTTAAGAATAGTCTTAACTGCAAACATAGGTACTTGTTTAATGATCTTCATTAACTTGCTATTTCGATATGTTATTAATTTCTCTGGTAAAAATAGCACCATGGTATTCATTACAAATAGACTAGATATATCAACTAGATATTTCATGAGCAGGCCTTGAATAAATGAAATTATCATACCTTTGGAAAATATGATGAGTAGGTACTTCCGTCTCAGCTGTGACTTCAAAGCTGGTGCCACTTGTTCTGTGCTGGATCTTAATTTATCGAGGTGACTGAAAACAGAGGTCAATGTCATGAGCATAAAAGCGATTGGGTTCTCAGTTCCCCTGGACAGGAGTGGCGCTACTCACCCAGCTGAGACACAGCAGGACTGCCAGATTTGGGGAAGGTTGTGATGAACAAAAACAGATCCAGAGACAGAGAAGCATCGATCAGATGGTCAAACCTCAGAGGGAAGGTAGAAAAGGGTAAGGGGGAGAGATCAACCAAAGGACTTATATGCAAGCATATAGGCCTAACCAATGGACACAGACAACAGGGAAGTGAGGGCATGAGTGGGGGGGGAGGGGATAACATGGGGATAAAGACATATATGTAGTAACTTAATCAATAAATTAAAAAATATATATAAATGCAAGGGGCAGGGCTAAGCTTGAGCTGTGATTGTGTGATTTCCCGGGAAGGGCTCTGGAAGCAAAGGGTTTAACATTGTCTAATCTGACAGACAAACCCCAGTGTGCTTGGAGGGGAAATATCCACGTGGTGTGAGAGTTAGATAAGGAGGTAGTTGCACCTCAATAAAGTTGAACACGTAATAACATGTGATCCTTCTAATTATCTATATATATAATAGAGAAATAGGCTAATTAACCAGGATGCCATAACGGGTGGGCCGGACAGGCGGAGGTTGCAGGTGCAGCATCAGGGATGGGATGGCAGGGGCCTCCACACACCTGCACTGGGGGAGGGCCTGATCAGCAGCGGCTGCAGCTGCTTCAAGGGCCAGAGAGGGAGGCAGGGCCAGACCAAGGGTGGGTGGTGCCGTGCGATTTCAAATGGTGCACTGAGCTCCTAGTAAAACATATAAACATTAATATAAATGTTAATTTTAGACAGTTGCGACTGTCTAAAATTATAAAGATTTTTTTAAGATAAGGAGCTAGTTAGCTGGCATATGAGAGACCTGCTACCAAGTAACTTAATCACTATCTGTAGAAATTGGTGGGATAATCATGTGAAAATATTTAAAATACAACTCAGAGCCAGATCACTATTTCGTTTTAAATTTTCAAATCAAATGGCCATATTATAATGAATATAAAGTTTTTCTTTTCTTTTTTAAAATATATTTTATTGATTTTTTACAGAGAGGAAGGGAGAGAGAGAGAGAGTTAGAAACATCGATGAGAGAGAAACATCGATCAACTGCCTCCTGCACATCTCCCACTGGGAATGTGCCCGCAACCCAGGTATGTGCCCTTGACCGGAATCGAACCTGGGACCCTTCAGTCCGCAGGCCGACGCTCTATCCACTGAGCCAAACCGGTTTTGGCTATAAAGTTTTTCTTAAAATTAACAGACAAAAATTATTACATTTCACATATATATGAAAATATAACTATCCATCCATGGGACAATATTGAGAGACTTTTATACACTTAAATTAAAAGAAGTACATACGATTTTTATAAATATTAAACTAACAAAGCCCTAGCTGGTTTAGCTCAACAGATAGAGGATCGACCTGCATATCGAAAGGTTCCAGGTTCGATTCTGATTAAGGGTATATACCTCAGTTTCAGGAGCCTCCCTAGTCCCAACCTTGGTCAGGGTCAGTGCAAGCGGCAACCAATTGATGTTTCTCTCACATCAATATTTCTCTCTGTCTTTCCTCTCTCTTCCACTCTCTCTAAGAAATCAATGGAAAAATATTCATGGCTGAAACTTTAAAAACTACATATATATTTTAATTTAATAGAAACAAGTAAGTATGCACTAAAATATATATTTGAACAACTGCATATATATATACATATATATTCCAAAAATATATTTGAATAACACATCAAATGAAATAGATAAAAATAAATCAAGCCCAATGAAAAAACAAAATAAAAATGTTTAATAGTGATTAATAAGACAACTGGCAAAGATAAAGTAAAAGATAAAAGATAAAGGAATACAACAAAACTAAACATAAAAATTAAGTATGCACTTTTTTTAAAAAAAAAAAGCTTTGTCTACATGTTTTTCCATTGTGCAATGAAGTAAAGTTTGACAATTTTTCTGTGCAGTGGTTACATATTTTTTAATTACATTTAAGGAAACAAATTTAAAAATTTATGGCCAAAAAAGGTAAGTTTATATTTAAAAAAAGGAAAGAAAACTTTTGATAAAGAGCAATGAAAGGAACAAGAAAGAGCAGCAAAGATAAAATATGAGAAACACAATTTAAAATATTAAAATATGGCAAATGAAAATGTGTAATAAAAATTCTTGATGGGTAAGACAAACAATAAAGAAAAGCGTAAGGTAATATATAAAGAAAAGCAAACAAACAAATCTATATCCTACAAATAAAAGAGAAATATGCAAATTAACCATCCCTCTGCTATGCTCAAGCCACACCCACAAGCCATGCCCACAAGCCAATGAGGAGTGAGTATGTAAATTAACCTGACAAAGATGGCAGGTAATTTGCATGCACAGAGCAGAGTGGGAAAGCCAGCAGTTTGGGTGGACGTGGCTCCCTTGATCGAGGAAAACCCAGAGTATGAGGAGCACCAGGAATTCTGGGAATAGTAGCTTTGGTGGCAGCCCCAGGACTGGAAGCAGAAGCCCAGAGCATGGGGAGCACCAGGAATGTTGGGAATCATGGTTCTGGTGGCAGATGGAGACACTAGAGCTGCCGTGGGCAAACTACGGCCCGCGGGCTGGATCCGGCCCATTTGAAATGAATAAAACTAAAGCAAAGAAAAAAAAAAGCCTCTATTATTCTATGAGCAACAAACCAAACTGGGTTAGGGGTCTCAGACAATTTGCTGTTATGATTGCAAAGACAGGCAGAAACTCCCGGATTGGAGAGGTCTCGCCTGAGGGCTCCCAGATTGGAGAGGGTGCAGGTCGGGCTGAGGAACCCCCCTCACCCCCCTCCTCAGTGCATGAATCTTTGTGCACCGGGCCCCTAGTATATATATAAAAGCATAAGCAACCAAACAACTGAATGACAGGTTGCAATGATGCGCACTGACCACCAGGGCGCAGATGCTCAACACAAGAGCTGCCCCCTGGTGATCAGTGTGCTCCCACAGTGGGAGCACTGCTCTGCTGACCAACCCATCCCAGTGGCCCACCAGCCCCGCAGCAGCCACTCACTCCCTCAGTAGTCCTACAGGTCCAATCTCTGGAGAACAGGCCAGGCACCGATGGACCAGCACCGCTGGCATGATCCCGACAGCACTGCTGGCTTCCTAGAAGTCTGCCTCAGGCATCGTGGCTGCTTCCCCTCCATAGACGCTCCGCTCCACAATGCAGAAACAATATAAAAGTGGCCGGTTGCTAGGTAGCTCCCAACAACCAGCACGAATGTCAGTGGGATGGCTCTGGATCCAAGGCCGGCAAGGGCATCCCACCACCCACCAGGAGGGTCAGTCATGTTCTGGCCGAACCCCACCCCCCTGGGAACCCCACCCATGCATGAATTCATGCACCGGGCCTCTAGTAAATAAATAAATATACATTACCTCAAATGTAAAAACCAAAAGGATCATTCTTATAAAGGTCAATGATAAGACAACAAACAAAAAGAAAGCACAAGCCCTAGCTTGTTTGGCTCAGTAAATAGAGTGTCAGCCTATGGACCAAAGGGTCCCAGGTTTGATTCTGGTCAAGGGTATGTACTGGGTTGTAGGCTCCTGCCCAGCCCAGGTCCTGGTCAGGGCTCCTACAGGAGGCAACCAATTGATGTGCTTCTCTCACATCGATATTTCTCTCTGTCTTTCCCTCTCCCACTCTCTCTAAAAATCAATGGGAAAAATATCCTCTGGTGAGGATTTAAAAAAAAAAAAGACACTAATATTCCAAGGATTAACAACAACAACAACAAAAGCACAAGATAAAACACTAAAAAGAACATATGACCAATGAAAAATGATAAAACATAAGACATCCAATATAATAGAGGTAATATGCAAATTGACCATCACACCCTCATGGCAGCCCTCATGTGGTGAAAGATGGCCACCCCCATGCGGCCACAAGATGGCTGGCAGGGGAGAGCAGTTGTGGGCAATCGGGCCAGCAGGAGAGAGCAGTTGGGGGCGACTGGGCCAGCAGGGGAGGGAAGTTAAGGGTGACCAGGCCAGCAGGGGAACTGTTAGGCATCAATCAGGCTGGCAGGGGAGTGGTTAGGGGGTGATCAGGCTGGCAGGCAGAAGCAGTTAGGGGTAAGCAGGCTAGTGGTTAGGAGTCAGCAATCCTGATAGTGAGAGGGATGCCCTGGGGGATTGGGCCTAAACTGACAGTCGGACATCCCCTGAGGAGTTCCAGATTGGAGAGGGTGCAGGCTGACCTGAAGGACACCCCCAGTGCATGAATTTCATGCACCAGGGCTCTAGTCTATACTAATAAAAGGGTAATATGCTAATTAGACTGGATTGACTGGACATCTTCTGGATGTCTGACTTCCTTCTGGACAAAGCCACAGTGGCAGGGGCTGAAGCAGAGGCAGTTAGGGGCAATCAGGCTGGCAAGGGAGCCAGCAGTTAGGGCAATCAGGTTGGTGCAAGGGAGCAAGCAGTTAGGGGAGAGATCAGGCCGGCACAGGGGAGCAAGAAGTTAGGAGGCAATAAGCCCAGCAGGTAGGGCAGTTGGGGGCAATCAGGCTGGCAGGGGAGGGCAGTTGGGGGCAATTAGTTGGGCAGGGGAGGGCTTTTGGGGTGATCAGGTAAATAGGGGGAGGGCAGTTGGGGGTGATCAGGCCATCAGGGGAGTGATTAGGGGGAGATTAGGCAGGCAGGCAGAGGCATTTAGGGGTGATCAGGCATTCAGGCAGGCAAGAGGTTAGGAGCCAAGGGTCCCAGATTGTGACAGGGATCAGGCCTAAACCGGCAGTCAGACATCCTCCAAGGGGTCCCAGATTGGAGAGGGTGCAGGCCAGGCTGAGGGACACCTCCCCCCCATGCACAAATTTTGTGCACTGGGCCTCTAGTAAAAATATAATTGACCACATGAAAAAGCAAAATTAAAGTTTTTTATAATGATGAGTAACAATAACTAAAGGAGAAAGCATCCATTAAAATATAAAGGAACACAATATATCTATTTCTTCTTGCACCAACTTTTGTATATTTTCCAGAAACATACCAATTTGATCTAGGCTGAGCATATATGGAAGTAGTACTGTCTTCTGTTGTTGTATTAACTTCCCCTGAATCTAACTTTGTTCCCTCCTCTTATATGCATTTTGTTTGTCTGCCACTTCTTTCTTTTTTCTTGTTCCACATTGCTAGAGGTCTGGCAATGTTATTCAGGTATTCAATATGTTATTATTATATGTTTTGTTCTTATCTATTTTTCTCTTTTAACCTTATTACTAAAGCAGTTGCTACATTTATTTTTATCTAGGTTTTTGTTTTTAGTTTCAAATCTGTCTCTTTAGTCAGGCAATCACATTTTAAAAATTATGGAGGCAAAAGGTTAATAAAACATCTCACAGAAATATTTTTAATAAGAGATATTTTATTTTTATTATAAATCAATAGAGTGGGGCCTTGACTTATGAGTTTAATTCGTTCCGTGATGGAGCTCATAACTCAAATTACTCGTATGTCAAATCAATTTTCACATTCGCTGCGCCAACTAGCGGTGGGGTATCTGAAGCTGGCTCGTAACCCGAATTTTAGCTCACAACTCAAAGCAAAAAATCGGCCAAGAGACGGCTCGTATCTCAAAAAACTTGTTAGTCAGGGCACTCGTAATTCAAGGCCCCAGTGTATATATATAGATTCTTCTTCTTAAAGAATGAAGTGATATTTTTCTTAAGTTTATCAAATTGGGTTTCAATAACAGCATCAATCTTCCTCTTTACAAACGTAAGAATAGTCTCAATTGCCAATTTACTTAGTTGTTTTAAGACCGTCATTAACATATTGACTCCATACGTTATTACTTTCTCGAGTAAAAATAGCATCATCTCCTCAATTACAAATGTAGTAGGTATGTTAACTAGATGTTTCACAAGCATAGCTTTAATAAACAAAATTATTGTACCTTTGGAAAACATGATGAATTCGTACTTCAGTCTCAGCTGTGACTTCAAACCTGGTGACACTTGTTCTGTGCCTAGGTCTTGAATTATGGAGATGACTGAAAAAAGACAGACAAGTGCCACTAGCATAAAACCAATTAGATACTCACTTTCCCTGGACAGGAGCTGCACTGCTCACCGACCTGGTACAAAGAAGGACTGCCAGATTTGGGTGAGGTTGCTCAAAGATAAATGCAAGGGGCGGGGCTAAGCCTGAGCTGTTATGATGTGATTTCCCAGTATAATCTCACAGACAAACCCTAATGACTATGGAGGGGAAATATCTGCTTGGTGAGGGAGTTACATAAGAAGGTAGATGTACTTCAATGAAGTTGAACACGTAATAACATGTGGTTTTGCAATTATAACATATATAGATGTTAATTTTAGACAGTTGAGACTATGAACTATGATAATGATTTTTTTAAGATAAGGAGCTAGTTAGCTGGCATATGAGTGACCCACTGCAAAGTAAGTTATTCACTGTCTGTAGGAATTGGCCGGCCAATCATGTGAAAACATTTAAAATATAACTCAGAGCCAGACCATTACTTTGTTTTAAACTTTTGAATCAAATGTCCATATAATAACAAAAAATAAGTTTTTCTTAAAATTAACAGACAAAAATTATTACATTTAACATATATATCTACACTAATAAAAAAGAAACGTGGTAATTGGCATACGACCGCTACCCTTTTCATTGGCTAATCAGCGAGATATGCAAATTAACTGTCAGCCAAGATGGCGGCCGGCAGCCAGGCAGCTTGAAACTAACATGAGGCTTGCTTGCCTCAGTGATGGAGGACTCCAACGTTCCCCACCTGCAGTTAAGAAACTATGTAACAAATACCACAGGACTTCAGCCAGCAGGATCGCAACATTGTATGCAAAGGCCAGAAACCTACCTTCAGCAGCGGAGGCCTAAGAGCTGGAGCCAAGCCTCAAGCTAAAGCTGGCCCAGAATATAAAAAAAAAAAAAGGAAAAAAGGAGCGGTTGGGAGCTTCAGTCACCCCAGCCTGAAACCAGCCCTCAGCCCCTCACCCAGACTGGCCAGGCACCCCAGTGGGGACCCCTACCCT